GTTAAAACTAAATTATGTGCTAAAACATATCTAACTTGTCTTTGAAGGTGGTTTATTGCATTATTTAAAAAAATTAATGAAAATAATAAAATAATAAACAATTTTTTTCTTTGAATGATTTATAGAATGTGAATAAAGGCGATTCGTGTGTACTTATTTTTTCCTTTAACGGAATTATTATCACCAGCTTCCTACATATTATTACACATGCTTTTCTACTCTGCATGCGTGCTGCATTTCTCGCTTCGATTTCTTTAATTGCGATAAACGCATAATTTGATAAGCGGCTGGCTGGGAAATAATTTCACAGACTCCCTGCAACCACTATGTAGTTCATGCATGTACTACACAAAATTACAGATGTGACTCCATGTAATTGTCAGGAACACAAAAAGAAATCAATTGTGTGTGGTTTAAAGTGAGAAGTAAACAGGGCCGGAATACGGAGGAAACTACAATAAACACCCGTTTTTCATTTGTCATGTTCTTAACGGGAAGTTCAGTGTGAATTTTTGAGATGATTGAGGTAATTTTTCGTGAATGACAGTTTGAATAACACAGGTCAAGTGGCTTCAATGGCTTTCATCATCTTTACGAGACGGTGAACTATTTGCCACCGATTTTAAATGAATTGACTGTTAGGAAAACCGTTGTTTAACCAAAAGAACAATCGAGACCTTGAGAAAGGTCCATTGTTTTACCCTCATACGCTTTCATAGGGTGTTCGTATGCACATAAGTATTCGACAATTTTGAGGTTATTTGGTTTTAGGAAACGGTGCTGCAGATGTCACCAACTTGCATTTTGTGATATATTAGAAAAGCAATTAAAGAAATTAGAACCCTCATGTGGTTTAAGGAGCTTGAAACACGTAGAATAGAGTTGCAGTCATTCGAATTGATTCACAATGTCCCTCACAATGATTACACAACACATCGTTGTATAATTAGTTTTAGGCCAAGCGAGAACCCCAAAAAACATTTACATAAATGTTTTTTTAGTGTGACACTTGCGATTACTATATGCGTATAATTCTGTCAACGTTAATTTATTTTATATGTTGCCACATTTAAAGAATAATTATCGTTGGAACGACTACTTATCAAAATGTGTACCATTGATATCTGTCTTAATTAATCCTTAATTCAGTGGAAATCTCAGAGGAGTGAGTCACGTTTTCATTATTTTTAACACGTAACATACATATCGCCCCTTAATTTATTCTGTCCTTTTAAGAATGCATCCCTAGCTCGACCACAATGCATCTTGCTAATTCAAATACAAACTATTGATCCTCAACAAGTAACGAATCGTTACTAACGATTATATCGATACACGTCTAGCTATCGAAACTTATATCATGAATTACATACCAAAAAAATGCTGTATTCATTGCAACCGTATGATGCTTGACTTTCTAGGTTGGAGTTTGAACTGTTTTTGTCTTGGTAAGTACATATGTAAACGTGTCCAAGTAGTAATTTGGTGTAAAATCAGGCAATAAAACCAAAATACGAGAAAAACACCTTCTCCCTTGAGACTAATCATCCTCCACAGAATTCCTTCTGACCCAAGGCAAGGTCTGAAAGGCCCAGACCCGGAGGAATTCAGGGCTAATGCGCATCCTTCCTTCCACAGGTGCATGCACCACCTGACACAAGTGCATTTGACGGATTTGAAGAAGGCGACTTATGAATCATTTTCCTTCTTGACCGGTGATTTCGAGAAAAGTAAAATCCATTTGATAGGCTGGATTTTATTGCCTCCATTATAAAATTATCCTTCCCCGACTGACTTACTTGGACTCGCACGCACGCACGTATGTACATGTTTCACTGCATTTACTTGTTCTGTTTGGACACAGGCGACAGTTTTACAGCGAGCTGACCAACACAACAACCGTACAATCCACTTCGTGTCCGTCGCCTCAGATCCAAGTTGTCAATAAGTCTGCGAGATTAGATAAGTCGTCTTTTACGACACCCACTCTAATTATGCGATAATTTTTACAACATCCCAAATGGACACTTTGCTCACTTGTATCGTATGAGATCCGGGTTGAAATGCATTTACAATAATAATCAATTTTTTCAACTTGGCAAAACCCTTAATGACAAAGCCCGACAGGAAAAGTCACATATTTAACGCCTCATAATAACAGAAACCAACCTTAATGCGCATGTACATGTGTAATTCTCTTCCATATTTATGTTATTCATTTCACTGAAATAAATAGTCAATACGCTCGCAGCCTTCAGAATGAAAATTGAATTGATGCTGAATACTAAGTACGACCAATTGTAATTTGGAAATTTACATCCCGACGAGAAATATAAACGTTAACCAAGTAACCGTTGAGCAAGCAAGTTTTGTTCGCAGTCGTCGGGGTTATATAATTAGGGCCAGACAATGTTCGCGTCTGACTGAGCCAAACAGATACATAAATCCTCAACCTCTCACCCGTCAACAACAATGCCATTATGAGCAGAGGACCCAGTTAAGACTGAATTCCACCCTTTCTCTGCCGAAATAAAAATACCAGTTTACTCGAGGATGCAGAGAATCTCTATATGCGATCAAGATCAATTCTCAACCATCAGACATTCCACATCACCTCAGGAGGAAGAAGAAGAAGAGCTGAATGATCTTGCGGCTGGACTCTTGAGAATTTTAATCCTCGGGCAGTCCAACGGAATACTTGGAGTAAGCGATACAGTAATTTAAATCTGGCTGCTCAGAGAAACATGTAACAGCATCCGAGGGATGTGTATAAACAGGTCAATAATAATAATAACACGTTGAGACGTTATGAAGACGATCGGGATGATCTACAATAATCCTTGTCCTCCAAAGAAGAAGGAACAGCAGCAGAAGAAGAAGGAGAAGGAGGAGAGCGGATAAATACATGGGCACGCCGACTTTTATACACGGGTGGAATTCAATTGGACCAACTTTTGGGAGTTGAGCTCAAATTAAATGAAATTTAAAGAATTAAAAAATGAATAACTTTTTCCACATGATGCTGACATGCCTCGCCCCTTTGGGATAATTTGGGAGGTTCGGGTACGAGCAATTTCGACTTTACTGGTTCTTTCGAGTGTGGGAACTCAACTAATGTACGTACGTACGTATGTATGTACGTACCTACTATGTAAAAACTACCCATGTAGAATACAAGTAGTTACTTTTGTGGTATACTGACTGACTCATCATCCGAGATATTTGAACTGGGCAGGTTGAGCACAAAACTCTGAACTATTTTTACAATTAAAGAACCATAATTGTTAACATTTTTAAGCAGACCGGAGGGGAGTCCAGGAGGCAAGAAGACATTGGTTTGGTTCGTATCTTTGGCTGAATAGTTTTTGCTGGAAATCTGGAGAAGGCCTCGGGGGAAAGATCCCCGTCGCCAGAGACGTCAGTTCATCAAACCTGGTGCACTTTTTGGAATAAAAACAAAACAATGGGCTTGATTGGAGCCTGGCAATCCAGCAATAATTACTATTCACGTTCACTATACCTTTTTAAAGAGCATACTTATTTTTTGCATGCATTTAATGTGTAGCATAACACAGTCTTTTATGCTTCGTGATGTCCCCAAAATGTAATTTGTACGCTGGGTGTAATTAGTACTGCTTAATTAGAAAACGTGTTAACAAGTGTATTCTTGATGCAAGTTATGAACTATGAGAAATTCCATTTCACAACTCGAGTAAAATTGACCTCAAGTCAGTCAAGTTAACATATTGGTACTGTGATAATTAACATTTGTAATGGAACAACTACAGTCCGCAGGTCAGTGTCATCGTCACTTTTCTTGAATCACAAGTACATGTTTTTTAATTAGAAAATATTCGGAAAAACTGTCTTCTGAAGCCTGGGGCACATGCACAAATACATGCATGCAAAAACTTCTTGGAACTCGATCCTCGTCCACCTACGGACTTAGGTAGCTGTACTTGAATGCTACTCCCTGAACGCTTCTCGGTACATGTTTCCTATCTGTCCAACGTGTTTCATTGTGCAACCAATTTTTGAGCCAAATCATTTTTAATTTACGGAGATTGCTAATCCGACGTAAGATTTTTTTAAGATGCAATTTAATTCCTGGAAGAGGACACTTGTTCTCTGTGGGTTAGACAGCTAAATGACCACGACTGATTTATGGGGAGACTTTCATATGAGTCAGTCTGCACAGGTGAGATTATTAAATGTACACAACGTTCTGGGATGCAACACGCCTGACGATGGCTGCTGTACATACATGAACTGCGTACCTAATCCTAAATCTGAATACACAGAGAGTGACTCATCTGCAGAATAAATAATCATAATCTTTTTTGACTATTCTCTAGGTACAAAAGTCTAAAATCTCAAGTTTAGCATTAATTTCGCTGGAATAAAAATTTTCACGGGCTATGAAAAACAAGAGCATGAGAAAACATGACAATTTAAAATGCTACTCCATTTTATTCGTATTTACAAAAGCAAATTAAATTGAGGGGTCGGAGAGAAATCCTTCTCAGAAATTACTAATGGGCTTCAACTTTTTTTTGAAATTGCACAACGCTTGGTAATTATTATACCGGGAGTCTGAAGCCAAACTTAATGAAGTTGAGTGAAACAGGTTCCCAAGGGTTAGAATTGTGATCAGTCATTATTATTTATCTGCGGCAGAAGAAATATGTACAAGAAGAAGTCGACGAAGATTGTGAGGTTGGAGAGTGACGGGGTTTGTACATGATTCCATCTCGCTACACATAATTAATCCGGATTTCGGAAACTGGAGATTACCCAACAACAACAACTCAATAATACCAAACAAGGTAATAAAGTAGTGGGAAAAGTGAGATAAATCAGCAGATTGACATTACCCGTAATTGTCACAAACACAATATTTCGCTAAACGAGTTCAATCCGTTTTTTGTCACATGCAATTATTTTAAATTACTTGGACTGACTGTCTGCTGAAAGGAGAAGTCTGTGGAACAACAACTTACCAAGAAATCGAACCAATGGCGAGGATATGATATGCCGTTTCACCAACAATGATTAATTGCAGGCATCCAAGTTCTCACGGTATTTAAGAATCAGACAAATTATTTCACACATTCACTCCTCCTCCTTCACCTGACACTGACTGATGAACGGAACGAGAACTCTGATCCACAAATCTGGAAAATTATTCCACTTCTTCGTTTCACTCGCAATGTGATCATGCACTCGGAAAGATGAGCATTATTTATCAAGAAGCAAACATGTGCTGTCCAAATGGGAGACAAATCCCTCAATTTTTTTGATAAAAGACAACTTGTAATTCTAAATAGTCAAAAAATGTTTGATTGTCGCCACTCACACATTGATTATTATATTAGAAAGCGTCTTATATTAAGTCTGGAATGGGAATGGTAGGAATGCTGCGTGGTACACATGAATCTCTTGGTTTAGACTCTTCACTTCTTATTATGCAGAATGCAAATACGCGTTAATGCATCCGCTGCTCCAAACTCCGGATGATGTGATGATGACGATAAACACCCGGTCGTCGATGGGTGAATGAAACTTGATCTGAGTGGCAGTAAGGGTTTGTAAGTCCCATGGAACATATAGTTTAAATTATTAATAATAATAATAATAATAATAATAGATTTATTTCAGCACACAAATTTTGTCAAATAATTTACAAAAATGATCAAACCCTATCTAGTAGGACATTAACCTTAATATTGTAAAAAATTCCGGTTATGCGTTTCTTAAAAGAGTTGCGAAAATTTTGTAAACCACGAATCACCCACTTTTGCTACAAACACGAGGAGACGGACGGACAGATTTCAGATGCGTCGAATCGTGATTTCAGCCTTCTTCGAAAGATTGAGATGAACTGTTTGGACTAGCCATGAAAACTTGGTGACTTTGCACAAGAACCAAGATATTCAAGTCTTAAACGTGGCGAGATAGTTGCAGCCGTGGTCCATCCACCACATGCATGCACTTAAACTTTATTACCACGAGAAGACAAGAATCATCACCAGCTCTGTGTGTGTATGCACACGGAGGAATTCACTGTTTCTTAACAGACAGGGTTCTTTTCAAACCAAGAAGATTTTCCATTCGGGACGAGTGAATTCAAACTTTTTATTTAGCTTTGGGCTACTCATGATGCATTCACCAGGCCCACCATCACCACTACCCCTCGTGTCCAGGCTACCTTTTGTCCTCCAAGAAAGCAATGTTTAAGCACCGTGGAGATTGCATGCATACGTACACAGTTTACGTCTCTTATTTAGGAGAAGAAGGGAGGATTAAGGGCAGGACCAGCAGTGGTAAGCTAATAACCAGCAGCGTCCCTGAAGGTATTACTTGGTGGCTTGGTTGGGTACCCTATACACACCATCAGAATGTACCATTTTGGTGCCTATCGTGCCTTCGTCAGGCATTGATGATGAAATACATTATGTCCAAACCGTATATCTTATCGTTGCTCAAGTATTTACAACCATATATCTTATCCTCGGACTGATGTAGCCAGGAGAATACAATTTGTGAGGGACTCCTGTCTCTCGAGTTGGGGTTGCCTTGGCCTTCTACCTTCTCAAGTATCATCTTTCCATCCAAATTCCTTCATTTTTCTCGCTCCTTTACTCATCGGCAGGCCGAGAAGGAAATATGTGCATACACTTCTGAGCTTGTTGTTGTCTCAGTTGGTACTCAGGATTTTATTACAGGACTCGCTAAATAAAAATAGAAACGTTGATCATTCACTTGAAAAAGTTTTTGTCCACGATGAGAATGAGCATTGTGCACCAGAGTAAACTGACACCTATAGAGAAACAAGGACTGGAAAGATGACAAATCATTATTCCATGAACTAAATATTGAGCAGAGTTAAGGCTTTATTAAAAACCACAGATTCACGCTTTGGTAATCAACAACTCTGTAGAAATCGAATTGAACCATTTGTAAAGAAATGCATGTGACAAAATGAGACAGCATCTTTGCGTGGAATATTTCGTTAATAATCACGCAACGAAATGTCTGTAAAAATAGAAAACGTGCTGCGACCCATGGATTTTTCCGGGTTTAAAGATTCGCTGTGCGTGTAACTACCTTTCGGTCATTAAGGAACAATGCGATTGGAAACCTTTAGCTGGTCGAGAAACATTAGAAACGTTGTGGAAGAGGCGGGTCACGGACGATCGTAAATAGTTCTCTAATAGAAAATGTTGGCCTTTTGAGAGGTGAAGGTATTGTCGGCAATTTCAGTCATCATCAATACCCACCACGAAAACTAAAACATGATGAAAGATTGCTGATTTGCTGACACCCAACAAACATGTAACGGAGAACGATTTGTGCATGGGGCTGGTGGACCACACACACACAACATTGTTTATTTATATGAATAAGAAATATATGTAACACGCCAAATGTAACAGTGTAAGCACTTAAGTCACAATATTGCAGTTCTTAAACGAATTATAGCTCAACTTATTCATCGGTCACACCAAACTGCTCCAGCAGCGAAGGAGAAATAGTCCACAAATGGAAGATAATCTGAGGGTCACAAAATAGTGCTCAATCTTTTAAATTAATGTTGCATTAGGTGCAAAATTCCTTTACCGGCGACACTGGTGTAAAAGACGACAGGATTGTCACGTGGTCCTGCGCCATCATACGTCCCCGCTGAAACGATCCCCACTTGCACCATTGATTTCGAATAATGCTCGACCATCAGTGGCCCTATTCGAATAAAATGTACCCGCTCCTTAATAAACTGCCATTTAATGCCAAATTTGTTTATGCACACACCTCCGGAATCTCCGTGTGAGGGGTCCATATAATTGGCAGGGATGTTGAGATGCGTGGCACAAATGGCATGTGGAGGAAGCTTTCCAACGCGCATTACATCATTGCAACTCTCGCTTTTAAGAATGGGAACTCTTAGTTCCTGCAAAGTCGAGGCGAGAGCGGATTTATCATCGGCATCGGTTATTCCCCATCCTGCAAGGTAAATCAGTTCAAATATAAAAAGCGATATTGCCAATTAATATCTATCATAATCACAGAAAAATCAAGCTTTTTTATTATTATGAATTATTTAATACCGATGACGATTGCATGCTTCCCAACCAATTTTGCGTTGTCCAACCCAAATTCGCCCTCAGTTGGGAGACAAACGGGGGATAGTTTACTCTCGATGGAAAATTCCACAGAAGTATTTAATTCGAGAAGGGCAATGTCACCTCTAAAATCCCTGCGGAATAAGTAAGCATACCTCTTGAATTAAATGGTTTGTGTTGATATTAATGACATTAAATTGGTACATGTTAATTTAAATATGTACGTACGTATAGCTAACAAAATCAGGATGCACGAAAACATTCTTGACTGAAACATCCACAGTGTCGCTATCATTGAACGTAAAGCCCTCGTGCCGACGAAGTCTCACGGCAACTTTGCTTGGATTCGCAATCGAAGCTTCTGATCCTCCAAGCTGAGCCAAACAGTGAGCCTATCGGTGAGCACGTGTTAATTTACATACTTGTAAACATGAACCTAATAATTTAAAGTGTGTACAGCAGTCAATATCATTTTTGTGTTGATAAGCGTTCCTCCACAGAGGCTTTTATCGCTCGGGTTATGAGGATTATTTTCATAAAGGACTTGACCTTGCCACGGGTACTCGTGGCGTCCCGCTTCGTCCCCTCCCACGATCCGGGAAAGAGGTCCGACTGATCGTCTGACCCCACACGCTAACAAACCAAGTGGTATATCTGAAAATGAATGTTATGCCGGTGGTATTTATTTTTTAATTGAGACAAGTGGCTCACTGCAATGGCTGCTAGTTTTAGTATGCTCATGAGGAAACCCGTCCCAGGGGTGCTTGGAGGATGACGGTTTTGGTTGTTGATCAAAATTGTAAGTTTCATACAACTCGATCGAACATTTGCACCATCCGGCTTTTGTAGTGCCAGCAATTTTGTTGATGAAGGAAAGAATTTCTAATTGTTCGAAAAAAATTGAATCAAATCGGATAGACATGTGTCATATTTATGATTATCACCTTCGTTGACCAGATTTGTAGAAAATTGGACAGGCGTCGACGTGATCGTCAGTTGCTGCCCTTTCTCACGGAAGTCATTGTCCGACGGTACTCCAACTTGAAGCATTTGGCCAGATTTCATGGAAATCATTAAAGGTGACCCAATGTAGTCCTGATAAAATTGAATAATTGCGCATAATTAATTTAGCACCTGTACAATTGTTAACTTTACAGATTCGTACAAAGTTATACATATCGGGAGACGATTTCCAAAACTGTGTGCACAGGTTCCTATTATTTTCTCTTCCGCAATACTTCATATCATAAATTCGGCTGTGCGACCGAATTTCGACATCGCGAAGGTGTTGTGTCTTATGCAAACCAAAAATCACGCTTTTCTGTCCCACCAACTGTTTCGACAATGCTTTTGACTCCGGAATGCAAACGGGCGACACGTCGTAGCCGCTGAAGTCGATCCTTTCCGACAGCTCGATGATACAAATGTCATAGTCAATCACCCTATTCAAACGCACATGTCATGCATTTGGTCCAGTGGTTGAGGGGGTCCTATAACGTTACGGGCAAATGGTTTTCCCCGAAAACTTCAAAATTTTAGACACAAAATTTTGATTTTTTTTACGGAAACCAATTTGCTCGTAACATTTGGGTCCCTCCGTAGTTAAATAGTTATGTATTATATGAAGTTATTGTTTTTATTGTAAAGTGCGATACCTTTGTGTCATATATGTCGGGATAGCTCGTGGATGACAATGTACCACTTTTGGAATTAGATTTAAGGTTGGCGTCGCCTGCGACGTGAGTTTGAGCCCCTGAAACTTTGTCGTGGTTAACAAATCGTCCTTCACGTTCAAAGCATTGTAGTGGACCAAACATTTAGCACTGGTCACTATCAACAAGTCGTTGACAATGGAACCCCAACACGAGTGGGAAACCGGACCGTGAGCTGAATCTATTTTCACGATCCAAGAGTAGTCGAAAGTGACATTTCTGGTGGCAACGTTTCTTTGTTTCCCACATTCTGAGCCACAATAAGCAAAACTTTAATACAAAATGGTAAATGTAATGAAAAATGACTTTCGTTTTTGCAAATCATAATAAATAAATACCACAATCGATAGTTTGTAGACGAGGTGGGGTGTTGAGATAAATATCGAGATCTTCATCATCAATTTCTGGGACATATGCTGAAATTTAAAGTCACGTGTTTCATTTGGTACATAGTTAAATAATTTCTGTAGTGATTTCGTTCCAATTAAGAAGTGTTAGTACATGGAGAGCAGGATAAAACCGACTTCAATTGAGACGAGTGGGCTAAATATATTACAAAAGCGTAAGTAGAAAGCTGCATCACGACGATAGGATTTCAATATCAGAAACGGTTTGCTGTTAAGAAAATAAGGATTCACTCATTTTCATGGTTTGTTTTTGCATTTTTAGCCCAATCAATGCAAGATGTGCTGATGTACCCGATGTGTCGATCCGTCTGTCCGAAATACGATGTCTTTTTAACTTATCATATCGACCTTTAACTTTGGAAAAACTCAAAACATGCAAAATTAAGAGCTACGTTTGATGATGAGCATGATCGGTCCGGCGCTTGACCTGGCCGGTGGTGGTCATTTAAATTGTGCTGATAAATAGCACCAACTTTTATAAATCGTCTAAGAAACATGAAATTTCGGATGAGGATGCAAGTTTTATCCAAGAATATATTCACCAGAGACAGACCCACGCTATAACAGAAAAGCTGCAATTTTTCATGCATGCATGAAAATTGATGCACGATAAGGATGCTAATTAAGTAATGCTTTGGTCTCTGGTTTCGAAATTGAGTGAAAAACAGTAGTAAGAGACGAGAAAAATTGTATGGCTCGGGCTTCATCAAGTCTGCATTACATGATGAAAATAAAATCATTCGACATATTGGCATTTAGCAATTGTAGTTATGACGCTTTCGCTTTCTGTCTACTTATCGATAAATTTGACCAAATAGTAGATCCTGTCCAGCCATATATACTGATTGCAGAAGCGTGAAGTGTGCGTGATCACTTTACGATATTTACTCATCGTGGTGTTAATACGTGGACAAGCTTTGAAATGGACCACTTGGGATTTCATACCATCGACCTTGGATCTGGGCGTAAACTCTTGTACAACAAAAGCTCTGATTGAAAACACAACATGTCGTAATCAGTATTTCTCAACATGCCAAATAAAAAAATCTCCTTCCTGGTTTTACAGCAACAAGAGTCGATCTCTCATTCCATGCTCACCACCCATGAATTTGGATCCTCGGACTCACCTCAACGGACCATTTATCTCCATTCACAAAGTTCAAAAGCACCAAGAGTTGGCCAGACTGCAAACTTTGGAGGTACGGCTGAAAAATGTCATGCACATTTGATGGAGAACATAGATAAGTGGATTTACCATTTTTGCACTGAACAGGAGCGACGAATCAAACTGCGGGATCTCATCAATGACGATCGTCAAAAGTGGCAGTGCGAGCTGTCAAAGATGGGACTGACACTTTACACGGACACTTTGCTTTGACTTATCACAAAAATAACTTTGCTCTGTTCGTCAGTTATTTATTTGAGATCAAACATACAAACTAGATAACTCAAGCCTCACAAAGTTTATGTCATTTTAATTTTAAAATTGATCAAACAAATCCTGCATGTCAACAATATTTTCCAGCATGAATAATCACATAATTATCCTTGATTTGTTTGCCGACTGCTCAGATTTTTTGTCCTTTCATGCTGAGCATTTACATATGTATGGATGCATTATAGTATCCTGCATATGTAACACGGGTGCAAAACAACAGTGTCACCTCTGCAATTTGTCTTATCATGACATTGAGTTTACAACGGTCTAACATCGATTCTAACCAATTAATTAATTACTCATGTTCACTGTTCAAATATGCAGATATATTTTTCATAGTTGTGCGTATTATGTTTGTACGTATGACTTATACAATTCACTACGTATTTCCTACCAAAAGGCACGAGAAGACAATGCTACCTTGAAATTGTGACATCAATTAAGCTCTACATTGCGAAAGAGGACTGATCAAAAAGGAGAAGCAGATTATACCAGGGTTCAGTCGTCCATTATTGTTTTGCACGCACAAAGATGGCGAATTCGCAGGTACCCTTCGTACTACGAGCGGTAATTTTGGTGGGGTTGTTGCACCCAGGAATGTCCCAGACTTGCGGGGGGCGACTCTGCTCACCCACCCAGTATTGCAACGAAGAGGGGACGTTATGCCTGAGCAAGAAGGATTTAGGGGACCCCTGCACTGGTGCTGGTCAGTGCCTCCCCAGCTACTCGGACTGCTTGGACCAGACATGTCAATGCCAGACTGATTGGACAGAAGGCCCCGGAAATCAATGCGTCTTAGATTGTTCGGACAGTACCTGCTCGAGGGGCACCTTCTGCAGCACTGATTGGAGTCATGGATGTATCCCCCAGATTAATCTTGGTCAGACTTGCAGCGATACTGAAGAGAGCCCTCTTCAATGTAGACCGGATAATGCGGTATGTGAAAATTCTCTTTGCAAATGCGGCTCCGACTTTCTCGAGAAGAACGGGGCCTGCATCCCCAAGTGCACCAGCTCATCAGCCTGTCGACCTGAGATTGAATTCTGTGACATTAACAGCGGCGAGTGCTTGCTGAAAAAACCATTGGGGGCGGGCTGCACTGCAGCACAAGAAGAATGTGCCACGCCCAACGCCACATGCACGGGTGATGTCTGCAGTTGCTTGGACGGCTTTTCAAATTATTTTAACACTGCTTGCGTCCCCAAATGTCCAGCCACTGAGTGTCGTGTGGACGAGTATTGTGACACTGGGAACGAGTACTGTGTCCGAAAGGCCAACCTACACGGACCCTGCAACAATGCTGGCGGTTTGGTAGGCCAATGTGCAGATGAAAACGCTCTTTGCCATGCCGTCGAGAGCACTTGCGAATGTTCCCCCGGCTTCATTGACAACAACAACCAATGCGTTCCGACGTGTACGGACAACAACGGCTGTAGCGAAACGAATCACTTCTGCAATGCTGAGGATCCTGAGGAAGGATTTTGCGAGATGAAGCGTCCTTTGGGGGGAACGTGTACCAAGGAAGGTGAAAGCCACGAGTGCATGGAAGCCAGTGGTGAGCTAAACGTTATTTGCAAAAATGGGCGTTGTTCTTGCAATAGTGAGCACTATCAAAGTGGAGGCAACTGCATTCTAAAATGCTCCGCAAATTCCAACTGCGACCCAACTCAAGAATTCTGCAACGTCGAACAGGGCAGGTGCACTCCAAAGATTGACCTAAATGGAATCTGTAACCCCACGCACCCAAGTTCCTGCCGAACTGAGAACGCAATTTGTAGCGAAGTCACCAATCGTTGCAGTTGCGTAGATTCGCACGTTGAAGGCTCGGGGATTTGTATTCTAAAATGCAGCGCATCCAATCCAAGATGCGAATCTGACCAATTTTGCACTACTGGAGGGGCTTGCCAAACGAAGCCTAGCCTCAATCAACCTTGCGAGTCGGGAGAAACAGCCCAACAATGCCAGGACCCCAACGCATCTTGTACCGAAGTATCTGAAAAGTTATCTTGTCTCTGCAAGGATAGCCATGCTGAAAACAATGCGGTGTGTGTCGCCAGATGCGAAAATAGTTTACCATGTGGAGACATGTATTGCGATTCGAATGGAGCCCCCAACATTTGCAAACCGAAGGTGACCCTCGGTCAAGCCTGTCAATATGCAGATCAGTGTGGGACTGAACATGCCACGTGTGACTTGGAGGGCTCAAAGACATGCCAATGCTCCTCGCAGTACTACAACTACAACAACGGGCTGTGCCTCCCAAAGTGCACGAGGGACCAGGGCTGCCTCTCGAGCGACTACTGCACTGAGGAAGGGCGGTGCGAAAAGAAGAAACCGCTCGGTGCTGGGTGCACGGATTCCATTCAGTGCAAAACCCCAAGCGCCATTTGCGACGCTACCTGCACATGTCCTAATACGCACTGGGAAGAAAGTAGCGTCTGCATTCAGAAATGCACCCAAAGTACAGTTTGCGACCCAGAGTCGCAATACTGTGCCTTGAATGCTAAATGCTACCTCAAAGTTGGGTTTAACCAAAGCTGCACCCCTGGCGATGATGTCAAAGAACAATGCGTCGGCAAACTGGTCTTTTGTTCCACCATTCCGGACAGCATCCGCCGGAAATGCATCTGTGCCGAAAATGCGGAGAAAGAAGCAGCAGCGCTTGACTGTTCTTGTACGACCGAGTATGTCGAGAGCCAGAACGCTCTGAGATGTCTGAGGGTATGGCTACTTTAGTATTTGCATGTTTTTTGTAACAACACTTTCTCCACCAATAATCACTGTTCTTGCACTGCTCAGTATGCAGATAAAAATGCCTGAGACACACTGCTTCAAGTTCAAACCCTATTTAAAATCCTATTTTTTATAATGATCAACCAAAATTATTGAATAATTCAATAATTAATTCTAGAAAGCCACCGAGTTAGATCAACCGTGCGAGGAGTCCGCACAATGCAAAGATTTTGGGAGCGGCGACTCGGGTGCTATTTGTTCCACAGGGCTTTGTTCCTGCCCAGCAAGGTTCATCCCAGACGGAACAAAGCGAAGATGTCTTTTGGTAATCTCAGAGTTTCGATCTTATTATGATCTGAATTCTCATAAAAATTTTTGTAAGAGAAAATTATCATGTTTAATATTCATATGGTTGTAATGTAATAAATAGGTTGCAGAAAATCTTGACGAGAGTTGCGAAATTGACGAGCAATGCGCTGAACTTGGTGGTACGGGCTCCGCTGCTTCGAAATGCGTCGCAAATAAGTGCTCCTGCCAAACAAGGTTTGTGCCAGACGGATCGAAACAAAGATGTCTCTCGGTAAGCTCAATGATCACATGCACTAGATATGATCTGAGTACTATTACAAATCGGCAGCGTATTTGCATACATGAAGAATTACGGTTGATATATTTAAATCTTGTTGTACTAGGTTGCCGAAAATCTTCAAGACGGTTGCGAAGTTGACGGACAATGCGCTGGACTTGGTGGCACCGGCCCCGCAACTTCAAAATGCGTCCAAAATAAGTGCTCCTGCCCCAACGGGTTCCTTGACGGTTCGGACAGGGTGACCTGTCGAAAGGCGGCGGAGAAGCTGGAAGACCCGTGCGTGGAAAACTTGCAGTGCGAAGTTCTTGGAGAGCAAACCGAGTGCAAGGAAGCAAAATGTCAATGCAAAGCAGGGTTCATGGCTGGCGAAGATGCAAAACAGTGCGTCGTGGACAATCGTAGCGGAGACGGTACGAGGTTGGGTCCAGTCAGTGCTTATTTTGCCATTTGCATTGCAATGGTTGCTAAATACCTTAATCTTTGAGTACATATGCCGTCAGCTATTTATTATCCATCCAGTAATTTTTAAGCTTTAAAGTTTAATAAAAAATATACCCTTATCTTGTATGCGCATTCATTCTGGTTTGAAATTCATGTAACGCAGCTTGTAAAAAATAGATATGCATAAAAATCTACGTAAATGTACCGGATGAAGGAAAGCTGCACAAATTAAAAATGCGTACATATTCTTCATTGCATCTTGAGAATTTCAGATTTGTGATGAGATTCTTCGCACCAGAAATTACTTTATCACTTTATCACCCTGTCACAGTGCTAGACTATTAATTGGTATTTTTACTCGGATTTCAGAATTGATGGAATACGTATAACAGATAATGTGTAGAATAAAAGAGATAATTGAATCGAAGCGACGCATGTCTGGGCAGATAGCGCGACTGATCTCTGGAGATGAGAATATTGGTCCTGAGTTTTATTCAGGAAAGGACAGAGTGAAATGGAAACGACTGTGACAAATATGTGAGTCCACCCGGGTGAGAATAATGGAAGGGGAGAAATCTCACATAATAAGTCACTCTGACCCAATCTGCCAATTGTCTATTCGCCATCAGTACCCGACGCCATAAGAATTCTCGATCCTATCAATTGTCCTCGTTCACATCCCATCATCCCGGCCTCATCCTCCCATTATTATTATCTATTCCGAGACCTATTCCAATTTCAGATGGATTCTCCTCTCACCCAACCGCCTCCACTTTCCTCCCTTATTTTTCTCCCTTGATGACAATCCACGTCAACATTCATCCGCTCCACACGCAATGGCACGACCAAGTGAAACGCATCAAAGAACGCAAGTCTCACACTCCAAGCAACATCTTGCAAACTCACTTCCGTAGGCATTACAATATCTTGCTCATTATGCTATAAAATAAGCATTGAATTAATCGATAAGTTTCCAATGGCTTTATGAAGCTATGCTACACAGCAAATGAGAAATGCAATTGCTACTAAAAATATTGTATGGGAGAACTAAAATAATTGGAGTTCTCCACCTTCTTCTTGTGCACATTCTTCTCGTCCTCCTCGGTCGGATGCAGACATTGAGCTCATTGATACGTCGTACTTTTTCCAAGCGAGCATATCCAGTGGGAGCGGAGGCAGTGGCTTTCTGGTGAGATGAGTGGCTGTGAAAGTGTCTCTTGTGTTCCTCCACTGGGAGTGATCTCGAGGGGAAATTGGTGAGGAGAGAGGAGACACAAGCTTTAGCAAACCGTGCAGAAATTAAATTGATTTTATTATTATGAGTTTTCTCTCACTCAGTTACTTTGTGTGGATGGATCGTGGGTGTGGGTGCCATCAGCCTCTCACTCACGCCGAGTCGCCTACTTCTTCCTCTCCACAGTACTTCCAGTCGCATTTTACTACCACACTTTGTCTCCAAACCCCAGTTTATTATGGAATATGGAGAGGATAAATTTGTGGGTGAGACTGCATAAAATTTTATTGGTTGCTCTCGCTTGCTACACATTCAGCTTTCTTTCTTTCTTCCTCTGAAGGTACTGCTGTGGTCGTCTCGCTTTAAAGAAAATTTAAGTGGTGGGCTGTAGTATGCGTACGAATGGACGGATAGGCTGCTTCTGGGTGCCATTCATTGGTGAAGAAAGAGTAGGAAAAGTTGAGCTCTAAAGGAAACAAGGAAATTAATTGGCCCTTTTTGTAATAAATTAAATCCACTGCCGCTGCGTGCTATTGGGAAGAGCGTAAAATAGCTCAAATATCCATCCTCAAGCCCAAACTGTGGCTATTCAACAAATGCGGAAACCCACTTTGACAATTTTGTGCAAAGAAAATTATGGAAGACGGGCTATACGCATATCGAAGGGTGGACTCGAGCAGTGGTGGGAGTCCGAGAGGGATGTTTGCCTCGGGAATTTTATGGGAGTGACAGTCTTCCTTTTTTAATACTAGGCAAATTCCTCTGAAATATACTGCCGATGATTTCAAGTGACAGAGAGCAAGCAATCTACGCGCTTTTATTACTGGAGGACTTTCACCATCAAGAAACTCGATCTGCTCCTTCCTAAGTATATCTACACACCTCTTCCATTCTCTGACGGCAGACATTGTGAGCACCAGGGTTTTAAATTATTCCGCTGAATGACACCATCAATAAGGCTCTTCACCCACTTGCAAAAAATGTCGCTAGCACAAATAATCATTTCAATTTGGTGCAAGTGCATCTGCAGAGCTAATAAGTGGGTCCTTTTGTCAAGTTGCATAAATATTACGTCAACCAAGTGAGAGTTGTCTGGATAATTCTGGTATTTTAAAGATTTCGACATGGTAAGGTGGTCATATCACTTGAACTTGGAATCTCTTATGCACATATTTAATATTTTAGGCAGGGATATCATTATCGCATTTTCTTTGGAGTGTTGCGAGGGTGGGAGGTGAAAGGATTGAGATTCTCAGATTCAGACGAATGTCATCCGCAGACAAATCGCTTCGCACGGAACCATGTGTGGTGCGTGCGAAGCGATTCGACAACTCTTTCATGTCGTTACGCATCACACTTGAATTTATACCTTTCTCTCCCCGACCACTTTCTCCCGTGGTTTTTTCTTCTTCTCCGTTTTCCACGCGCTCGTGGCATTGGCATTGAATTGGAATGCGAGTCTGGATATTTACACCCACACCCAACCCAACATATCAACTCCGTCACCTCAGAGGAATTTTTTGATGAGGTAACCCGAGATGCGGTGGACGTGGACGAATGCATAACTCGAGAGAGTATATCTTACCAAGGCGTGACCCAAGAAACCACTCGTAATGCAATAACGAAGGGTCGCAGTTGAAGTGTCTGGTGCAAAAAATCATTGGTGCATTTCCATTAATTTGATTAGTAAGGAGGCTTCTGCACGATCATTTTAGTTGATTCTGGAATTGCATTTGTTACGAAATCAAGATTTGGTCCACCCACGCGAAGAGCGAATTAAAATTCGTCCCTCATCGTTTCTCCCTCCAAGAACTTTGACCCAACTGCTTGCATTCCTTTCTTCGTGGTCTTCAATCTGGGTAATTCTCTCAACGTCTCTGTGCTGCAAATGTAGCAACGACGCCCCGGTCGCCGTACTGCCTGCCATGCACAATCAACGCCATAAAATACCCCGGTGAGCATTTCTCAATTCCTTTGTGGTTTCTCGAAACATCTCCCACTGCTCCACCAACTGGATTTATTTGATAAATCGTTCGAAATAAGGAAGGTTTTTCTCAAAATTTCGTATGACCACCTTCGTCGTCGTCGACTGGGATGCATTTATTTGGTTATGCGGAGTCTCCTGGGGATGCTTTTCAAGTCGTCCTATCTCATGTCTCACACGAATAGATTTCACCACGAGGAGTGGAGAAAGGCAACAAAGGGAAATACTGCATGTGAGGAGGTCCCAGTCGCAATATGCGCCACCATTCAGTCACTTTCTCTGTCCTTATCAAATGGAATCCCACTTGTCGAAATGAAATGTTTGCTATTTGTGCGATGTTTGCCTTTGGAAAGAGTGGGCATAAAAAGGTGCAGCAGCAGCAGTGGTGGGCATGTCCAGGCAAAAGGTGGGAGACACGTGTGTGTGGAATGATAGATAAGGAAAGTGCAGAGAGAATTTGTGCAGTGGGAGAGAATTCACCTTCTCCACCCCAATCTGAATCTTAATCTGTGAAAGGAAACGGAAATGGAAATGGGGGAGAAAAACGTGGACATAGGTGAACACAGGTTGAATTGTGCGTCTGCGATGCTCAGAAAAAAATCCAGAATTTATTAGAGCCAGGCGAATTCGTATGCCTCCCTAAATCTTCATGATACAAGTGTGGCGTGGCTAGTTGAAAAATGCTCTGGCTAAATTTATTGATCATTGTGAAAGAAAAACCTACGCGAGTACGGCGATTGAATTCTAATGGGAGTCAATTACTATTATTTTTTTTATTCGAGTAAATTAAAAATTAAAACTAAAGATGTGAATAAATACTGGTTTACTCCTCACTTATTGAATACGTTCCAAAAAATAATTTACTGCATTTGATTCCACGCCAATAAAATGACTTCGTCACATGCCTCGAAATGAGGCGTAAATTATGTTAATTAAATTGAACTAATTCAATCTGCTTACGCAACCTAGGTACGCACGCATATAATGGTTTAACTTACACAAACAAATGACTCCAAGGACGGGTTCATGCTCTTTTCTGCCAAAAACTTGATACCACGAGTTGCAAATTACGAACCGCAGTTTTTAACTTTGTACATTTATTTCATTGACAAAGCGTGCAGAGCAGAAATATGTAGAAAACTGCATGTTGCTAAATGAGGTGTATGTGTTAAATGTTTAAAGCAGTACGTGATAAGTCTCAATAACATTAAATTAGTTGCATTATTAACACGAATCATACAAAAGTGAGCATAAATATTTATTAATTTTACAATGTTTTTGGGAGCTTATTTAGCAGTGTTTACAACTATTATAACACTGACAATGTGGGGAGATGGGCGAAATATGGATATTAACATAACGATAAGGACATAACTATCAGGTGAATAAATAAAGATTAAAACTTAAAAATCACAGGTTCCGTCCAACCCACATATTTGCCAGAGTTGGCGTTCGTCGCTGAGGTCGCAGTCACCGACTCGAACCCAAGCCCCGTCGTGTAGTCCAGGGGCACGCATACAGCGCCCCGTCGACATCTGCACCAACTGGTACGCATTCGAGGAGAGGTCCACGCGTCGAAACACCCACGACATGCTCTCCTTGTCCGGATTGCAAGGACGCACGACGACGTGGTCATTGTACCCCATGTCCGCCCCCACGCACTTGTCCAGCGACCCTGCATTCCCCATCAGCAAATATCCTCCTCGGTTGCTCTTGACCAGTGAAAACATTTCCTGCTCCAAACCTTTGATCCTAATCAATCCATTGCAATTTCACTTTTATCAGACTAAAAATTCACAATCGCACTGATAAGATAACCCACATTCGGGATACCATATACAAAGCATGACTCGTTTTTGGGCAAGAAAAAATAAATAGGTATTGACCAATATGACGACTCACCGCTCATCGTGACACTTCCAAAGAACGAGTTGGTGCTCCCTGGTTTCACCTTGACGCTTCCCATTTTCGATTATCAAGCATCGCCCAGATTTCATGTGACCAATGACCTTTACCTTATCCAGCGTTCCCCTCCCTCCAACGTCTATAACGTTGCGCGAAGGTTCCCTCAAGTTCACGGCAGCGTTAACCACCGCAAAAATGCCGAAGAATAATGCTACCGAAAGGTTTTCCATCTTTGACCAATCCCGTATGTACTATTGGGAACCAAACTATTCGCAATAGAATTCGCTACTGGCAAATTTTGTGCGAATGTCTCATCCCCAAATATTGTGATTATTAAAATAACAAGCTATTGACGAAAGTTTCCCGTCGTGATCATTCATTGTGTTTACATGTGAATAATATGTTGACGTAATATGACAACAAAGCAGTGGCAAGACAAGTGGTTCAGGTTCGATTGTATTAAAATTAGCTTGGCATTAATTAACACATAATTTCAGGAAACTGGTGGACTCTGAAGAGTGAATGAGTGGATTGAATGAGTGAATACATGGATTGTGGTGAGCGAGTTGTGAGGTGAGACACATAATTGGCGATGATATGGAAAGTGTACATCCTGCACTCCTCAAACCACATCGCACAATGCAGCCCCTGTCTATCAAAACTTGCATGATAACCTCAACATGACATTTTCAACTTTAGAAATCGAATTTCAAGTTGGAAAATAGCACTGTGATGATGTCATGCACAGCGAGATGATGTAAAGAACAACCTTCACCCAACAAAACAAAAGTTACAGTTATCCAACAAAATTTTAGACAAACTGGTAAAGTTGCTTTATTGTTTGACATCATAATATGCATCCTAGATGTCATGTACAGAAGAAATAAAAAAATATTCACGAGTCAAGCACTTCAGATTCATAGTTGAGTAGTAATTTTTGAAAGAAATCTCGCATTTCAGTGAACGAGGGTCTCTCTTCCAGCTCTTCATGCCAACATTGCAACATGGTCGTTTCATATCTGTAGTAAATCGCCAGTTATTTTCATCACTTAAATAATAAATGAAGGGAAAAGTTGTATTTCGAATATTTGTACATTTCTGTGTTGGCATAAATAGGGCACGCAAGCCGATTTCCGTCGTTGAGAAAGTCAATAATTTCTTGATACTCGAGATTTCCGTATGGATCATCCCCCAACGAGAAAATTTCCCATCTAAAATTCGTTCATGTTAAGACATTGACTGACCAATAATGCATCTTCTTGAAATAAACTCTAAACTTATTATTTGGTCACTAACAAAGTAATTCCGAACGCCCAAAGGTCCGATTTGACCGAGTATTTTTTCATTGTCAGGCATTCCAGTGCGCTTCCTTTGGTTGGCACAGGCTCCTGTGGGACATTTGGGTTTTAATTAACAAGACGCGTCATCATGATTTTACAGCAGCATGATTATTATTCCTCACTCTAGTCTTCTTTGTATAATCTTGTCTGGAATACAGCTTACGAGATAATCCAAAGTCCCCAATCTTGGCAGTTTTTGCTTCCGTCAACAGCACATTTCTAGCAGCCAGATCAATGTGCAGAACCTGTCGTGTCAAAAGTGGAATGACATTTCGTGATAAATACTACACAACAAGGATTAAAATTGGAAAGTCTATAATTACATCTTTTTCTGTGAGAAATAGCATCCCAGTTGCAATTTCTTTACTCCATTTGAAAAGTTGGAGTAACCAGGTCTGACTCAGCTCAGGAAATCTGTTTGAATTTCCAAATTCTCTTTAAAGTTTCATAATTCGTACCCGTTAAGTTATTTTTTCTCACCTGGGTTGTTGAACTCTTTCACTAAAATCCAAATAGTCTGGATGAAATTCGTTCGGTGTGAATGATGACTTTTCTTGAGGAAGTGAATCTTTTAGCGAAACCAAATAATTTTTCAGACTTCCGTTTGAGCAGAGTTCCAAAATAATGTAGATTTCCCCTTCGGATATACACAGCTACAAATTATTATGTAATACTTGGGGTAGTTAACAGTGTTACCACAAATCCTAAAAATGACTAACCAGCTTCCAAATTACTGGTGCAAGATCCAACTAGCTGAACTATGTTTGGATGTTGTCCCAAATAGGCCAACACCTTCAGCTCGTTCAAAATGGACTTTATGTAACCGCATTCCGAAAAAGGCTTCATCGTTTTGATGGCCACGTCTTGCCAAACTTTTCCGGAATGTTTCCGATTCTTATATTTCCCTTGGAATACTACGCCAAACATTCCATTGCCCAATATTTTCCGTGGCTTTATAGGGTCTGTTGAACCAAAACAATTAACAAAAAGCACTAATTTTCAAATTCATAATTCCCAAATGCCGTACTAAATTCCCAATCATCTCTCGGAATTTCCAAACTTGATTTGTAAGGAGCACAACAGGCCTGCATCACGCCGGGCGAATCCTCATTGTTGTCCACGTTCGAACAAACCGTGTTGGTGAAGCCTTTTTGAAACTGAAGAATTTCCGATTTGGGAAAGACGAGCCGTTCTGCTTTATTCGTTGGCCGGTAGCGTCTGCCAGCAAAAATGGAGATTCCTGTGACCAAGAAGACCAAAAGAACGATGCTGCCCAACACCCACGCCACAAGAGTTCCAGTCGACAATGACTCTTCGGCATTCAGTTCTGGACAGGTGCAGAAAAAGTTTTGGCCACGTCGAGTGTGCGTTGGCTATGCATTTCAGGGAAAAGTTTACCATCACGAATGTCAGATTACGTATGAAGCTGCAAATTCAACTTGTTTATTACTCACGACAATATTTGTGCTGTTCTTGTGAACGACCGTGAACGGGATGAAGTCCTGAACCGGATACTCGGGCGGTGCATATTCCGAATATCCAAATGCAGTCTCCATCAGCAAGCAGCCGGGTTGGACGTAGGATGACCTTATCACAGCGTTAGTGCTGGTGTTAAATCTGCCATTGTGGGGAAGCACGATGCCGTCAAAGATGCAATCTCTGCATTTTTCCTCTTGGTACAACACTGCACAAGTCTCGTTGAATGACCGACTCCGACAATCTTCATTTGCACAATAAGGTGTATCAACTTTCTGAAATTTAATTAGAGCTTTAATAAAATATAGTCTGGGAAAATTGGCGAGAATTACCTGGCATCCACAAGTTATGGACGTTGCCTCGTAGTCCAACTACATACAATTCAATAATTTAATACTTGGAGAAGTCCGCATAGTCATAAAAACCGTACAGCTAAAAATACTACAGAGGAAATCAAGTACCTCAAAAGGGTCCCTCGACAAGGGTAATGAGGAATTATGGTCCCAGAACCTTGTGCAGGATGCAGTGATGGCTCGTTTGCCTTTCTCGAGAATCGTCGGGTTTCCACAAATCTCGATGAAACAATTTGGTTTCTCAACCCCCACAAGAGCAGAGGCATTTGTAAACTTGTTATAAATTTGCTCAAAGTCTACGGAGGATGATATTCCTTGATTTTCGAACACGTTAACAACCGTTCTATTTCCATTACCAGAACCAAACTGGATGTGACCACATAATTCACTGGCGTTGGTAGGTACCGTTCTCACGTGCGAACTCGTTAGCATAACAGACACAAACACATAAATTTCCACCAACCAAAAATCTCGTACTGAAGATGAAGTCATTGTTCCAGATGTTTAATCCCAATTAGTAATAATATTTAAATATTCTATTGAAAATCTCTCATTTTGGAGCCTCATGATATTTCAAAGGTTTTAAATCTTTCCAAATCGTTTAATACACGAATAAGAACAATATTTACGTGCTTCTCCAGAAAGACTAAAGGAGCCGAGTTCAGAGAGAGCGAATTGGTAAACAGCAAAAAAAAACATTTGTAGTTTTACAGTCACGAAATTGATACTGCTGGCTCTAACTAATCTATTCTAACCTTTTTATTACTTACACGACAATTCAACAGCAGGAGGCTGACTTCTTTGTGATATGCGTGTATGTACATATGTACATATGCACGTAAGTAAGTAAGTTGCTCTCACAAAATCCTGGTCCATGCTAAATGGAAACAAGGAAACTGCATAATTGGATCAATTACCTATAGTACATTCAACGTAAAATGTCGTTTGAGTTTGTGGTTCGGCTCTGCGGTTTAATTTGTTCTTTAGCATGGTAAATTTTATTTTAAAACAGCATTGGATGCACTGCATTTCTCATGCACTCAAAACAGACATAGATTTAAAATGCAAAACAAAACAATTATTATCGAGTAAAAATTAAAATTCTCTTGGAGTTTCTGATAATATTTATTTCCGAGATTTATTGTAAAAAATGGCTTGAAAAAAGGACAAATAAACTAACTTGGGTTTAATCCAAGGTTAATCGGCATCCTATAAAACTTTAATTCAAATGCACTTTTGATAATCAGTGTGTATGTACATGTATCTGTAGTTTGTAGCTCTTACGACGTATGAATGTGCATAATACAGATGTGTGTGTGCAATTACCATCATTTCCGCAGGGAGGTTGATTACATATGTATTTAGTACATAAGTAAGTATGTACATGAAAAATATACATGAAGTTGAACATTAGATGCTTCGTTTAAATATTACCAAGAAGCCACTCCTTTTCTGCTGCTCCTTCGAGCAGGCTTATCGTCGATGACCTCTTGAGTCTGACCAAAATTACATGGAATTGAGCCATTGTATGAATGCATATGTATTTCTGTAGATTAAATTTTTTCCAGAGACGAGAAATGGGAATAGATGTCAATCCATAAATGTGTGTATTACGTAAGTGCTTACATGTAAAACATTGAGAAACCAAATATGCAACCGGCCAAAACTATGTACTCGCAACAATAAGAATCCAGTACAAAATGAATCACATGGATTTGGCAGTATGTCGCATTAATAATGGCATGCATGCAATCCAGTGATGTAATAAATTCCGGGAGCCATATTCTGACAGGTGTGACACTAAATGCCTACGTTTCTGGGGTCCAGCACCATGTGACAAAAGTCTGGTTGAACAGTTTACATTTAAACAATAAACCCAGGTTAATTGTGTGCTTGTAACTACAGCTGAGGTTCCATAAAATGAAATTGTGCATGTTTGAAAGTCGTATGAAATCTTAACTTATCGTTTTTACTATTGAAATCCAACTTGCTAAATATTTCATTCGTCCATTATTACTTTTTCATTTTAAAAACACAGCGTAATTATAATTTGCACAACATAACGAGAGACAACTCGAACAATGTGTATGTGCATATTTACTTGTACGATTTCAATAGGAATTATTCGCACCATGTCAAATTACCCTTACTAAATTACGAAAGAAAGCATTCTATGATTTAAATATGCATTGTGGATTTAGTGAACACATTTGTCGTCTTGGTCGAAAGTTTATACGACACATGGCATATCGTCAGAGAAATAAGTGCACGCAGTGCATACCATCAAGGAAGCAGAGGTAAATGTTCAACGAGCAAATGACGCTTTGGAATACTAAATCAAATTCTAGTCTAATTTACGATGCTTAATTGACTCTTTACTCCGGAAATTATAAAATTTCATGAGCAGTGCTGCTGCACATATCAGTCTGTACGACATTTCATACCCACAATATCACAATGGGCAGGCTCGTGACGCATTATAGCCACCATTTGCCTATTAAAGCAGGCAGGTGACCAATAACCTTGCAAATTTCACAGGTTGTTGAGGACTTAATGTATTCGGGGTCTAATTTTACATTCCGATTACATCAATACATTGGTTCTGATATGGTTCCAACTTGCCACATAAAATTTATCAACTCCATTTCGTGGTACAAAGTATTTAAGTATTGCACACTCAGTCAGTCAGACATATTTCGTACGTACGTACGTAGGTATTTACATATGTAGGAATAAGATTGTGGAGCAAGTTGTTACACGTATCGAGCCCTGTTTTATAATTTGACTAATAAATTAGCACGAAAGCCACAAACCCGTAATTAAATCTAAATAATTGACTCGAGTAATTTGTGGTTGTGAGAGAAAGTCTTAATTTAACTGCAGAATGGAACACCCCGAGCACTTTGTGAAAAGGAGTCAATTAAAAGTTGGCAAATATTGCAGAATGATAAGCTCTTACATCTTTTAGCTTTAGTTAAAAGTACATGCATACCAAGTTCAAGAATCCAAAAGTCACAAGCACACCCAATGAGAACAACATGGCAATAACACAGAGGCTGTCTATTTATAAATGGAAAACTGTAGTTGCTGAATAGTAGAATTATATTTATAACTAAATACTACATAAAGTTGGTATACAGTTGTAATCCAAGCAATATTTATACCCATATATTTATACAATAAACAAAGAAATCTGTATTCGAAATTTATCTCAGCCCCAGAACTGATATCAAGACGAGAAACGAATACAAATTCTGCGAGGAATTATTTATGTTTGGGAAACTTAGGATTGGAAATCTTCCATATACACTTCCCGAGTTATTCCAACGGGTTTATTAATTTCCTACCAGACGCCAACAGGAAATTGTAATGAGCTTGATTGATTTCTTGGATCCGGTTGAGCTCTGCTGAAATGTGCAAAAATGTGAAAGAAATGTAGGAATTAGGATAAACGAGACCGGATATTAAGCACGCCAGAACCTTCATGCTGCAGGGGAATCAATTAAGAATGTTTGGTTCAGAATGTCAAACTTGCACCAGTCTGAAATTTCTATTCAATTTTTACATCCTTCTCATAATTGGTTTTCAATCCTTCTTTCTACACACGTTCGATGTTCGTACCCTGTGTGGGCACACAGATTTTTCAGCCTGCAGAGCATAAATAAGTACTCATTTTAACGAGGAGGTTTTTTTAGGCAATAATTCCTTCGTCTGCTCTGCTACTCATAATCGTAAAAAAAACTTTGAGGTAGAAACATGATGCATATTCTCCACTGCGACTCTGTCAAAAAATAATAAGCATGTGAAATGGTAATAAATTGCGGCAAAGCCCCATAACGAGTCACCAAAGCAAACTTCTTGTTTAATTTCAGCTTTCTGACTTGTATCAACATCGCATCCACAATGCTTTCTCCAGTTTATCTCTCGCAGACAAGGCTTAAAAATCCGTAAAACATACGACGGGAAAATTACTGAGGTTTACTCTGGAAAAGAGCAAGTTTCATCCTAATGACCTTCTCATTTATGATGAACGATCCTAAAACATCAGATGCAGTTGCAGCGGTTTATTCCAGAGCATGCAATGAGTGAAAATGGGATAGAAAGTGAGACGGACTAATAAGAGAGGTAGACAAATAATGTCTTTTGGGCTGAGCCACCCAGCCAAGCCGAGCCGAGAGAGAGAGAGTTGGATTAAGAAAATAATCCACCTCACAAAGACATTTAAATTGGAAGGGGAGCTTTTGTGGATAAGATTACTAACCAACCACCACCTCCGCCCATGATCGACGATAATTGATATCTTCAGCCCTTCTCTGCCACCGCAGCCCCTCCAACTTTCTCTCTCCACGCACGGCTGCGAGAGTGTGGCGGAAGAAGCAGGAGGAACAGGAGCAGCAGAACAAAGTAACAAAGTAAGTATTGGGGCGGACGAGATGTGATGAACGAGTAACTCGAACCTGCACTTGAACCCTTGTTATTCCTCGCTGCTTGGATTTCTTGGGACTTTGGAACAGTCAGTGGTTGAATGTTTTATTACTGCTGGACGGGTGCGTTGTGGTGGATTATTCACAGAGTCCGTTTCCAACACGGGGTATCAATGTGGTTGAATAAATCTGGAGGGATACTTTCCAATGGGATTCGTGAATCGGTCCAACTTACGGAAGTGCACAAATCGTACTTTGCTTTCTCTTTCTTCTGCAGAAATCAAGTTCAAGTTTAGCCGAAGGAACTGAGAGTAGGAAACGAAGACAAGAAATATGATGGGGATTTATGCTTGGAAAACTTTGGATTATTTGCGGCTGGATGGGAACGTCACGTCCGATAAGTCGGATTTGAAAGGGAATACGACGACCTCTACGCATTTCCTGCACAGGGTTTGGCGGATACAAATTATGAATACGCACACATTTAGACGGCATCGTAATGCGTATACGTAGAATGTAAAAGACGTGTAAGCTTTTCTTTTCATTGGGAGAAGGTAAATAAGCCCACTTGAAAGTCTATTAAGCGGCTGTTGTAGAAATAATAGGAGTTTTCCAGCCAGCCAGCCAGCCAGCCCCGTCACGACAAAGAGACACCCTTCCCATTCAGAGCACATTATTTAAATCCAATGCATATCCTTTTGAGAGGAGATTCTTGAATCCGTCGCGGATTCTTTTCTTGTTGCCTTCAGCGTAAAAACTAATAGGGCATTACATCGTTTGTCTCAAGTCTGTAATGGGGAGAAGGCTGCATCCCTCCTCCGTCAAGACAAGACTTTTTCTTAACAGAGATTGACGGTTGGCTGGAAGCAATGAAGCGAGAACAAATATGAAATGAAATAGTTTTCCGTTGAGATTCCCAATCCAAGCCTCCGCTTTTCTAAATAATACGTACATAAAAGTACCATTGAATGGGAATCGGCGATGAGGGGAAATTTCGTGTCGATATGTACACAAGCGGGATGGAGGAGGGTGAAAGCTATGATAGAAGAGCGTAAGAGAGGATTTTTTTCCATCGCTTATTTTCTTCTCTCTCTCTCTTACGCAGAGCACTCCCATTTCGGAGCGATTCTTCCTCCTCTCGCGCTTCCCGTGGGACAACTTACAGAGAAATCGAATCAAGATGAACAATTAAAATGTTGATTGAAACCATCATTGATGAATTCGAGATTTTATTCGTGTTGATCTCGTGAATTTTATCACACATAAATCTGGCCCACTTGGCAAGGATGGCGCATGGAGGAAACATTTAGGAAAGGCATCAACATATTCATCTTGTGCTCTTACGCACAAGGCGAGATAACGCAAAATGGCAAAAATGGTAATGAGCACACTTATTGAGCTGTTTCTCGGGTGAGAGTTAAGACCATCAGGGGAATTGTGGTAATCGAATTGTCTTTGCGGGGATGAGGCGAGTGAGGCCGGGATAAGGTTGGCCCGGACGAGGACAGCTGGATACATGCATGCGAATGGATAATCCGGTGGGTGGCATGCACACGACGTAGATTTTGATAGCCTTCTTGTTGGTTGAGATAGTATTTTTTGGCTGTGGGGAAAGTGGCCGTGGGGAGCTGTTATTTACATACTTCTTCTCCTGCCCTAAAAACAAAACATTTTAGCCCAGGTTGAATTTCAAATTGGAATTGTTCAACAACCGCAGCCCAAAAACCGAGGCTTTCCAATTTTTATGTTTTCCAGATCTC